ACAGAACAATATATATACGTTGTTTCTATTGCATAAAACATGTGACCCGGGTTTTGGGGGTCGTCCTGGATGCCTCTACAAATTGGCCCATACGTAAAAATTTTGGACTAACCCGGCCGGGATATGAAAACGAGTAGCTTAGGCATTTACTAATTTCCCCCCAAGTTTCTATTGACCGGGGTAAAATCGTCACCCAAAAAAGTTCCAACCATCACGTGACAAATATATCGAACGAAAAAATTTATAGACTAAAAAAATAATACAGTAATAACGATAAGCAATAAATTAATCTTTTTATTTATTTGAATAAAATCAATAAACGTAATATTTATTACAACCAGAAAGTATTATGATTACGGGTTTTCTAATATTCAATTGCCTTTTAAAATGATTATAATCCTCCTCCAATTTATGTAATTGCTCAAAGTTTTTATTAATACTATCGAACCATTTGCTGCTATTTGGATTCATTATGTTTTTTTCAATATTTTTTTTTGTTGCGTTCTAGATTCAGAATTATAAAAACTTTTTGCTTAGAAAATGATCAGATAGTCTTCCGGAAGATCATTAAAAAGAAAATCTACCAAGGTTTTCTGCAGTTGCATTTTCTTGATTAGATTCATTCTTAGAATATTGAATTTTATGCTTTTAAAAGAATCACTCGGTTTGTCGAGATTGCAACGATTGCTGAAGAATCGAAGAAAAAAATCACGGATCTCTTGCAGTATGGGTGACACCTAGTTTAAATCAATTGATTAATAATACATTTTATTCGGGTGTCACCTATACTGCAAGAGATCCAAAATCACTAAATCAATTATCGTTATGATCCTAATCATGAAGAATGGACAATATCACATGATTTTCGAAACTTGGGTGGCGATTTTGGAGATCCCCCTGTATAATATCTAGGTGCATTGTTTCCGCATTAGACGTCATCCCATTCAGGGTATAAAAATAGAAATGTGGCGTTCACGAGGAGACATGTAAACAAATGATCCGGAAAAACTAAAAAAATCAAAATCCACAAACACAATTGAATAAAAAAAAAAATCTTACGTAGCTTTTAATCGTTGTCATGACATACAGTATCTAATAGACTATAGCACGATGGCCAAATCATTTTGTGAAGACTTAGCTGAAGATTTTAAAAGCCTATATGAAACCAAAGAACGTTGTGACACAATTATTAATGTTGGAAAAGAACCAAATGTTGAAAAAATTTATGCCCATTCTGTAATTCTTTGTACTAGATCATCTTATTTTCGTACTGCATTATCTGATAAGTGGGCTAAAAAAGATGGTGGATATTTAGTTTTATCAAAACCCAATATAAGTGCATTTACTTTTAAGATTATTCTTAAGTAAGCAATGTATTTAAATTTTATAGCAACGATTTTTTAGGATTCTAATTCTATATTATATATTTAAATAGGTTTTTGTATTGTGGAATAGTGGATTTAGAAAGCCAAGAAATTGAAATAATATTTGAGCTTCTAATTGCTGCAGATGAACTTTCAATTCAAAAATTTACTTCCTATATTCAAGAATTTTTAATTGAAAATAGTTATAAATTCTTACTGCAAAGTCTCATGAAAATGCTTCATTTTATTGTACATAATCAATTCGATGAGCTTAAAGAAGCTTATGTGGAAACCATTTGTGAAAATCCAGACTTACTATTTGATTCAGAGGAGTTTCTTTCGTTAGAGGAAGATGCACTAAAATTAATTCTTAAATGTGATAATCTCGACATAAAGGAAAGTGTTATTTGGAATAAACTGGTTAAATGGGGAATTGCACAATGTAAAACGCTTGAAAATAACATGATATGTGATGACACTAAGAATGAAGACATTGATAAATTAGAAGAAATATTACAAGAATTAATTCAATTAATTAGATTTTATCAAATTGATCCTAAGGAATTTATTCCTGAAGTATGGGAATATAAACAACTTCTTCCCGACAAAGTAATTAAGGATATATTACATTGTCATTTGGATCCAGATGCTAAACCATTATATCACACATTTCCGATCAGATGGGGCAATTTTAAAGTCGACTCGTTATTAATTGATAAGGAAATTGCATTGATATTGACGAAATGGATAGATAAAAAACCTACAGATGACGAAGTATCTAAAGGATTTCAATACCATTTTAATCTTCTTTTTCGAAATAGTTCAGATGGTGGTGGTCTTTCATCTCATAAATTTCATCAAAATTGTGATAACAAAGGAGCAACAATTGTCATAGCGAAAATTAAAGATAAAAGTTGGCTTATTGGTGGTTACAATCCACTTGATTGGAATGGAAATGATGTATGGAAACAAACAACAGATAGCTTTTTATTTGTATTAAATATTGATACCCTCAAAGGATCTACATCATACGTTGATCATAGTAGTTATGCAATTTATTGCAATAGTGGTTGTGGACCAAGTTTTGGGGAAGGCCCTGATTTTCGCATATCAAATGATGGCAGTACTTTTAAATATAGAGTAAAATCCTATCACCGTAAGTTAGTTAATTCAAATAATTCAGATTCACATGAAATTTCCAAACTTTCAATCACAGATTATGAAGTCTTTCAGATAGTTAGCAACATTTCTACCCAAGGTTGATTACAAAAATATAACTGCATCATAAATCAATTAAATGAAATGCATGTATCAGTATGCATAATCTTAAATTTGATTGATCAATCTAAAGTTGTATTTTTTGTGTATTTAGTACCGTGATTTCGTGATCTTTCGAAATAACGCACAGGGGTGTAATTTCGAATTTTAGATTAAGCTTAATTCGAGCATGCCTATTACTTTGCGAAAATATATTAGTTATTAATTTTTTTCGTATTTATTGCAAGAATTTTTTATGTTTCAACTAAAGATGCTGGTGAAGTTAAACCAGAGTGATGAAACTATTGGTGAAATTAATTTCACCTGCATCTCTAGTTACAATGATCTATATTACGTATACAATCTTGGTTTTCTTTGATCACACGAAACTTTACGATTTCGGATGCTAATGTATAGTATTTTCGTTTAATTTGTCGAATCATGCCAGATTCATTTGCCTAATATCATCACCCGTAAACTCTTTTTACAAAATTTAAGCTTTTATCACTTTCGAATAAAATTATCAAGCCTGTTAAATAATAATTTTGAAATAAATTATGTACGATAATTGGAACTTATTTTTACGAATATTTATTAAAAATAATATAAAATTGTTATACAAGATAAATTCTATTTATAACATACAAGATTCTATCATTTTTATTTCATACTATTTAATCTTTTATACATTATTGATTTGGAAAAACTTTGCTACTATGAAAATTATATAAGTAAATCGGTAATGATTTTTTTTCCCAAAGTGTTTTCGGTCTTGTTCGTAGAATAACCTATGTTTTTAAAAATAAAATCAAATAAAATATGAATAATTGCGTCATTGAAAAATTTGAACAAGGACGTTCACAATAATTGTGGCCACGAAGAGCTTCCGGTTGCCCAATTTTATGTATCGCGTTTCACCACCAATGGTTATTACCAGGACTTGCTCACCCGACCATATTAAGGAGTAATTACCTTAACCAGTCAGTCCCGCGAACACTGTCCAAAATAATAAACCAAAGTTATCTCTAAACTATAGAATGAAGAAACGAACGTTCGCAACAGGCGTCCACTCTAGAATCCTAGCAGCAACTTCACAAGTTACGGCCCGAAGAGCTTTCAAATTTCTTCAACATATAGATAAAGTCGCAAAACGAATACATACAATTTAGCAACTATTCAGCACAATATATTACCTGTATATTCGCGTTATCTTTTATTGCGTTTTCAATTCGACTAAGGAGAATATTCTCCCCATGAAAGTCTCCATATACATGCTCTAAACTATAATGTTGGAATGTGTGAGTGGGAGTGCGAAGTTTGAAAATACAATATACAAAAAGTGCAAAGTATAAACAATACAATATACAAGAAGTGCGAAGCGTAAAAAAAAAGATAGTTTCTATATTTGAGCAAAAATGATGTAATTAAATATGTAAATATGTAAATATGTAATTAGTGTAACAAAAACAATCATATGATAGGAGATTATTCGTCTGATTGGTTAATTTTCATTGATCTACCCGTGATTAGTGCCCAAAAAGTTACTGACACGTGATTTTAAACATTTTTCAAGATCTGGTGTATCGTTACTCGATCAAGAAATTTCAAAAACAAACGTAAACCTTAACATAGATCCTAACCCAAACCTATAAAGAAATTTTTTACCGAAGATCACGTTTTTTGGTGGAGATCCTGAAATTTTTCAGTCAACTAATCAGTCGACTAATTTTATGACTAGTCGACTAGTTGTATGATATATTTAAATTAGTAATTTGAATCGGTTGGGCTATAATCGGTTAATCGACCCGAACTGAATAATTTTCGGTTAACCAGTTGAGGAAATTCTTAATTGGTTGACCCGATACAACCGTTTGAGAATTGGGTAATCGGTTGGCAGAATCGATATAATATGAAAATGACGTAAGGAG